GTGAGGGTGGCACAAGGATGGGGCAAGGTTTCTTTCTGTTCTAAATAGGGTTACCATGAGTCAAAGCTGACTCGACTCACCTATCAAGAAGAAAGAGACTAAAACAAGCACAGTCAAAGCACAGAAGTCTGAAAAAACACCCAGGACAAACTTGACTTTGACAGGCTGGTGTGAATGAGTAGTAGGCTACACTGCAGGTGTTTTGGCTTTCTTGCTTGCTTGTATGCAGTTAAGCCAGGACCTTTTATAGCATAATCCAAAGCAGCAACTTCAGCTTTCAACATTGTTAATTTTCTTTTTAACATTGTCCAGGAAGGAAAAGGTCACATGGTAACACTGTATATCTTAAAAACTGATGGGAAAATGCACAGTACTCCAGGGCAGGTGCCTCCATGATTTCTGCTGTCAAATCAACTTTCCTAGCTACCACCTATCAACATCTTGCTTTCTCTCCATCTCACTGCAATGAGAGTCTTCTTTATGCTTTCTGGCTGACTAGCGACCCATCTGTTAAGTGATACTAAAAGGCAAAGAGGTGTTCATATGGTTTTGTGTGTTTCATCCTCCTCTTTTAAATTTGGCAGCGTTTGACAAATGAGACACAAGCATGACACCTCCCCAACACTGCCAGGATCCCCTCTCATACACACCACGTATACACATAACCCACACAGATCCATGACACACATCCACACTCGCCTACACATAGATTCTATAACATGCTTTGATATGTATAGACATACAGACACACACTGTACTCTTCCAACACACAGTCTATAACACACACCCACACCAGATACACACAGATTCATATCATACAGACTGTGTAGCACACTTCACAATGTGTACACACACAGACACACTCACCCTACACACTTCCCACACACACTCTATAACACACACTGTACTCTTCCAACACACAGTCTATAACACACACCCACACCAGATACACACAGATACAGACTGTGTCGCACACTTCACAACATGTATACATGCATAGACACCGTACACACCACCCCCACACAGACTCTATAACACACTCCTGCATTACATACACCACAGAGACACATCCACCACATATACATCCTGAACACAGACTATAACACACATTCTGCAGCATGCACACACCCAGAGAAATCCCCATCCTATGCACATCCTACACCCAATCTCTATTACACATATGCGCACCACATACACACAGCCCACCCTCAGATATATACATACTTTTCACATGCATGCAGTTTTCAACATACACTCCTACCATATGTCTATACACATATACATTTCAAAAACAGTCAAATATATATACTTTTTAATGTACATCCCATACCACATACACTTTATGTACACATACATACACACATGTACCCCACTCTAGACAACACTACACATTCTGTCTACTTACACATACACACATACACATACCACACACATATATTTGCACATCCACACATCACACATGCACCACACACACGCATGCATACCATATACATACAGTTTGTAGATTAAAGACCTCAGGACAATTCTACTTGCTACAGAATACAAAGCTTAACTTTTTAAACTTATAGGGGTCTAAGTGCAGATGTTCATATCAGAAATGTGCTAAGTACTAGATGATTTTACTTCCTTTGACTTCTCTCATTCTCCTAAAGCAATGCTGTTTGATGGCTTGAGAGGAGAGACTTGCTTGGCCTCCATTCTTGGGTAAGGAACATATGCCAGTGATGGAGGATACCTTATTTTCATGAAGAGAGTGAAATAAATATTAATTTCAACACATCTGTGCACCTCAAGCTATGCCTAATGAAACCTAGCACAATAACTCAGAGACATTTGACACTAGGAAAGGAGAGGAGAACTACTCAGCTTTGGCTCTGTGCGACTGTTAGGACCCTGAGCTCACTGTCCTTGGGCTTCATCACATTTCAGAGCAGGGATTATGTACGTAGAGAAGGAAGTCTGGGGTGAAATCAGTGTTTCTGACATAGAAGTGTGAGAGGGTATAGTTTCCCTTAGGAAGTCATCCCTTCAGAATTCACTAACCTCCCTTTTTCATTCAAAAGCTTGTATTTATATGAACAATTCCTAACTTAACACTTGCTTGAGGGCTTTTAAAAGAGAAGAGACTTTATATGGATGAATATGAAACAGATAATTTCAGCCATAAATCAGAAACGATTCTTTCTATTTCATTCTGGTATGGACCCCTCATAGAGGCATGGAGTGAACCCAAAATAAAACCAAAGTCGACATTTACTATCAGATGAAAAATAGTAGAAGGAACATCCTGCATTCAGAGCCAACACTTCCCAGTGAAGTACACTTTAGTGCCTTCTCCTAACCAATGCCTGAAGGAATATTCTAATCTTGCTGGTTGCAAAGTCTGTAGGGAGTTGGCCACTAGCCCTAAATCTGTATGTCTCAGGTTGTTCAAATCTACCCATGGCTCCAAGGGAGAAAGAAAGATAGACAGGCTCCTCCCATTGTGATTTACAGCCACAGAAACCCAACAGAAGGTAACTTTGAGTTGGAACTAACTTGATAGCAGTGAGTTAGAGCTTGATTTTTTTTTTTTTTTTTTGCCTTGGGGAAGTGGTCATCAGTTTGCCATTCACAGTCTGTAGAAAAATGTAGAGCTGGGCACCTTCCTCTGTATCTTGGGATTGCAAACTCAAAAATTCACTCTTTGCTGTTAAGTTGGAACCCAGTTATATTTGACCCTCCAGCAGGTTTTTGGGAGGCTGTAAATAGCACAGGAGGAGAGTTCTTTTCTTCTCCCTTCAAGCTGCTGGTGGATCCCAAATGCTAGAGCCACAGCAGGACTCCTTACTGATGCCACTAGAACTCTTGGGAGCAGGGTCCCTTTATTTTGTGTCAGTGAAGGAAGGAGGGGGCTGTGCCTGAGGTCTGGGATGAGGCTGCACTAAGAAATCTCAGGTCCATCCCTGGGTTATGAAGAGATGTCCATCAACAGGGCAACTTCTTCTCAACCCAGGCAGCCAATTGAATGGCAGCAGTGCAAACAGCCGCACACACCCTGAGGAGTTCTGGAAAGATGGGTTCAGAGAAATGCTGACATACTGCTCTTAAAAATATATAAACCCTTTATTGCCAACAAGTCAAAACCAACATATAAGTGACCCCTCATTGGTTTGCTGAGGCTTGATACTGCACCAGAGCAAACTGTCTTTCTTTCTTCCTAAAAGGTATTGGTGGATTTGAACCGTCAGAGAGGTACAGCCTTTGACTCAACAGTACAATTTCCTACCGAGGACACCTCCAGATCTCCCTGTCTTTCCAATAGGTGCCCCCAAATAATACCATGCCCTGCACAGGGGCTCAGGGACTTTCATTTTGGAGGGAGGTGCTGAAAAGGGAAGGCACAGGATCAGTTGCTCACCCTCTTTGCCCCATAGCCTTAAGCCAACACTAACTTCAAATTGCCAAGCAGCATTTTAATGCCTCTAGTTACAATGACAGCTGAAGTAGCAGGGTCAGGCTTATAGGTCTTGGCACCCCCCATTTTATAGTGCTCCTGTTTTAGCTGGTGATCTTTCAGAGGGATGGGGCAGAATGCCAGGCCTCAGGAAGGCAAAGCTGGGCAAAGTGTCTAGAAGATTATAGCAAGCCATGAGTCTGCATCGGCCAAGATGAACATGAGTTCTCTTTGCATGGCTGCATGCATGTGGTCTGTGAAGAGCTTTGCTTTCATGTGGCATTTGTCTGTTTCTGCATCAAAGTACTGGGTGAGTCCAGTGAAGTTTTGGTGAAGAAGTCTAGGTTATTTCTCCCCTCCCCTCCCCAGAGGCAGATGAACTCATTGATGTTGGCACCAGCTGCTCCTGACAGAGCCAATTCTAGCTGGGCTGTCTCCATCCAGACATTATCTAACCTACCCAGTTACATGACTGCATTGGAGAGGACACTCTGTGGTATCTGGCCACCCAGTGCGTAAGTGGCATCTTTCCCCAGCACAGACATCAGAGTGCTGGAGTTGGTCTAGGGGCAAAGCTGCCTACCACTCCCGGTCAGTAGCAGTGTTCAGTGAGTGTCAGTAGCCATACACACTCCATGGGAGGAGCCTTCTCACATTTCTGAGGCTCTGCCATACTTGCAGGCTGCAACAATTGGTGGCATAAGTTGCTTTGACCACTTACACTAATAGAGCCATTTTCTGCTCAGTGTAAGGACATCCATAGCCACGGGGTGAGTATAAGATGACTCTTTACATGATTAGGCAAACGTTCACATTCTTAACCCATACATGTAGCTCACATACACCAATACCTTTATACACCTGTGGATACATATTCATACCACATACACAACTGTACATATATACAGCCACTGCTACACACATACACAACCCCCTCAAAAAAACCCACATATATCCAAATGACAACACTGTCTACAGTGAGAGCTCATTGGGCCAAACAGAAATAATTATTTGGATCTCCACTCCAACCCCAAATATGGACCCTGCATGTCACTGCTTGGGTATCTCTCCAGCTCCATGTGCCAGCAACACTGATTTTTACAGACAGATACCAAGTTACTGCTTTTT